CACAACTGTAAAATAGCATCATTTCACATGAGGCAAAAATCTGTAAGGAAAGAACGTAAAATGAAATGGAAATGAAGAAAGAGTAAAACAGAATGGGAGGATGAAATTATGTTTTGTCATTTCAACATGCCTTGATTTTGAGGACAACCTAAGTGGGATAAATGGAGTGTGCACCAGCTATGTTTTATTCAGCAGCACAAAGGCAAGAGAAAGCCAAAGGAGGTCTGTCTTTTGGAACAAACTGATGAAGAGTTTTATTTTATGCCCCCACTGCTTATTTTTTTTCTTTCCTCTCCCAAAAGGAAGAGGAAAAGAAAGAAAAGGTCCTGATAGCATTTCTCTTGGAAAGTTTTATTTCAGCATGGCTGAATTTTGAGGACATCGTCAGTAATATTAACTGGCTCCAAGGCAATGTACTGAGCAACACAAAAGGAAGAGAACGAAGGGTACTTACTTTCTGCCCCTATTTTTGCAGCCACCATACCTGAACATTTTTTTATAATATTTCAAATTATACCTAAACCTACAGGTGTCCCCACTCTGATTCATTAAGTCAAACTGGGTCAGCTGCAGCACAATAGCTTCGTAAGTCAGAGCAGATCAGGCTCTCCAAGAGTGTAATACTGGTGTAAGTGGTGTAATACTTTTTATACTAATGAAAGGCACAGATGATCCATCCTCTGCAAAGTCACAGATGGTTTGGCTAACCCTGTTCAATATCACAATAGGATTTTTACCAGTTTAACAATGAGGTATTGCTTGACCTTAATTTTTAATTAATTTACTTTTTAACTTTAATTTGAGTTCATTTAAACTTTAATTTAATTTTAATAGGCGACCTATTTTTCCAAGTGTTTCTACTGATTAAAAAATCTGTCTTGTTTTTGGGGTGACATAACATCCACTAGCTGTTTTCAGGTGTCTGATCATGATAAACGTTCATGCAGATGAGTTGATTACTGAAAGAGAAAAGTTTGCTCCAAAACATTGTGTCTGTGCTTAGAAGACCCAAAGCCCCTAAAGGGTGCTAAAAGCCAGCACAGTATCCAAAGAGATCTCAAGCCTGTTACTATGACAAGAACCAGGCAGTTTGTAAAAATAGGAAGGATTGACCAATAGTTTGTCGTACTACCTTCAGTCAGACTACTAAGGATATCAAGGATGTCGTCAAGAAACACTAACATGTTCTTGGCTCACATGTAATAGGAAAAGCTGTATTCCATAACTTACTGCTGTTTATTCATTTAATCAGCATGTACTTGTATTTTTTTGTATTTTTTGTTGCTGAATCCAAATTAAGATGTATTCCTGAATTGACAGAAAAAGATTGATATAGTGTTTTACAATACAGTCAATGGATCCCATACCTGTTGACAACAGCCTTGTGACAATCCTCTTGTGTGAATTGACACAAGTGTTCTTTATCAGGAACTGGTCTCCTTGCTTTTAAAGTGCATTTAATTAGTATTATTCTGAAAAACACTGATGAAGATTACTTGGCCAAAACATTTGCTAATTTAAACTTCATCCTCTGCACTTGGGGACATGACTGATATGAGAACGTATTGGACGATTGCGTTTGCTATGGCCCAGCATGCTTGCATGAGAACAGAACACAGAACACAACATATCCAACTGGTAATTCTAAAATAGGGCGGCATTATCATAGTACAAACACTCCTGCAACACAAACCAGCAAGGTTAAGAAAACTGTGCAGAGGTATGGATGACACTTTATCAGCTTACAACTCCCATGAGTGATTCTATGCCGAGAGCCTTTGATTGATTCAACACATTAAATGTTTCACTCATTTGATAAGGCGACTTAACAGGTACGTAACAGCACAAATATTGTTGAACCTGCTGTCTTTTCATTCATATTCATCATTACATAAGATGACAGGCTAGTCGTTTTACCTAATAACATACAACGTTGCAAACCATACAGATACATGTTTTGCAAGATCCTGTAATGTAGCTTGATCAACAATAAATGTGACAGGTGTAAAAATCCAACTAGCTGGTGGCCCAAAAGTTAATTTCAGACCCTGGGTCTACTTCAAAAATATTTATATAATGCTGGTTGTCTGTTACAATATGTTACCACTGAAGTTTACCTGGTTTGATTTTTGCAGCTCATCCAGGACCCAGAATGAATCAATATATATGACAAGCCAGGTAAGCTGGTTGATCTTTGTATTTTCTTTTTGCTTAACTGTGTCTCCTGCTGATTGCATTTGGTTTTGATTTGTAATTTCTGTTCATCCATCAATGCTGTCATTGAAATTATTAACTTTGATAATTAAATGATGGCATCATCAGCAGATGCCTTGCCCACAATCTTTTTCCCATCTCTCATAGTTTACTATAATTCTGTAATTAAAGGTTCTCTGTCAAATATTTTGGGCAGACATTACACCGAGCTTTCTGCCAGGTCTATTAAACAGAAGTGCAAAAATGCCTTTTGCACAAAATACCACAACACCATGAATATTCACAAACACACCCTACATTGCCTGACCCTCACCCATCACCCTTTCATACTTGGCAAAGTTCGAATGCAATTGAGTGCATCTGCCAACTGCACTACATTTCTGTTAAATTTACATACATATATATAGGTACATTGGCAGTAGAAAGTCAAACCAAAGATTACAGCCTTTTGAACCACAGAAAAACAACTAAAAAGCCACACATTCATATGTCCTGCATATTTAATCGATTTCTGTAATGAATTCTGTCTTCATAATTGGCAGATACTGTGGTCTAATTGATCAACTTTAGTATGCAAAAACGTTATCCTGCACTGTGCATAGTATCCTTTTTCATGCATAGGAAAATATTTTTAAAAGTCAGCCTTCTGGCTGAATCACACTACCTCGGGGGAGACATGCAACTTGTCATAATATAGATGTTCCATTTTGCAATTTACTGCCAAGCAACATTTTCTGCAGTCTCACATAGTGCACATTTTACTTTCCAGCTCAACAAAACCAATATTAGGATCTCTATCTCATCCTAAAGAAAATTTTTCTAATTTTCTTCATATGTTGCTGTGAGGACATTAAATAACACAATGATCAAGTGTTTCTACCATATTCTTAAAAGGATACAATCATTATACATGGCAATGTGGGGAACCTTTTTTATGCTAAATCAAATGCTCATGCAGATAGAGCAAAATCTTGGATGCTTGATTTATCAACAGTGTTACATGAACTGATAAATCAGGTGTACAAAAATTCTGCATTTTGTGTGTGAGATTAAAATTAATAGTACTTCTATGCACATGTTGAAAAAAGACGTTCTTGAATTTGAAATTTCAGCCTGATCCAGATGGTATGGTGCAGTTCCCAGAACAGCAGTATTACATTTACTAAATGCTGTGGCAAGAAAATAAAACTCTGCAATGTATATCACATATGGTGGAGAGATTTAATTCCATTAAACACTGTATTAAATTAAATTAAACGGAGCTATTAATCCAGTGGTCTCTTCTCCTGCAACTCACCACAGCTGATGCACTGAATGTTGGGTATTAGAATGCAAATGCATTGCTTGAGTATGTGACGTAATGGCAAAAGAAAGTGAGCAGAGCATGGATGCCAAATATCCAAACTGCTCATTCTTCACTCTATTGGCTTTACGCCCCATGGTTTTCTTTGATGTATGGCTGATCAGGTTTAGAGGGTTTTCATAACCTGCACATTCCTGTAGCAATATATGATAAATAGTAATGTAGTTGATCATTACTGCCAGGTGTGATTGGAAAACCACACCCCTCGTCTGAGAGCCTGGTCATCAGGTGGAGTACATTGATGGTTATGTAAACGTTGCCTAAGAGTTCCTGGAGCTTACATGAAAAAAATCCCATATTTTTTCAATTTCTGTTCACAAAATATTTTTTTAGTTCTGTGTATTACCGCATGTATGCAGGAACTGGTGAAGGTAGTATCACAACCAAAGCAAGTTTGCTTTAGTTTTAGCTTTAAAGTCCCACCTTTTAAGGAATTGCTGATCCAAAAGAATATAAGAAGATTTGATGTGTAAATCTAGGGGAAGCCAAGTGACACCATTTTGAAGCCAATGTAAATCTTTTTTTCCCAGGAGTATGGTGCAAATTCAAACACACAGAGATAACTGTAAGGTACTGCACTATCTATCTGAAGACAATTGTTGGCCAATACATATTCTCTATTGTTCTCTAGTTCTATTTATGCCCTTTGTCTTCATTACAGACGCCAACTTCAAGACAACTTTAATTATGAAGTCTGACCTGACACTTCTAAGAAATGAAAGCACTTCTGGAACCGAGATATACCTTTTCAATATTTCTGCATAAAATTTGATATTTCAATTATACACATAAATCTCTGCATTATAATATTTGAACTGGATTGTATTAGTGAATTTTAATCGGAAACATTCAATTTAAATTTGTGTGGAGGAATTTTATAAAGGCATCTGTGTGCTGTAGCATCACAGGAACTGGCCAAAACCCCTAGTCACTGGAAAGGGGGTTGTATCATTTTGTGGTCTCTGGTATGAAAAAGTTAAATATTGGTTTGGACCACCTGGTAGTCTGACATGCTTTCTATCTAACGACTGTTTTGATTATTGCTTACTGTTAAATAGACCACTGAATTGACGTCACTCTCCCCTTTCATAGACAACAGCTGTAAAATATAATGCACAATTATAAAACAAATACATTAGCCATCTGTATTCATTGAAAGGTTACTCCTACCCTCACTTCCCAGCCATGTGTCATGAGACCTAATTAGAAAAGTTGGGTTTTCATGACTCAGTGTAGCATACACAGCATAGTTAGAGAACTGACACATTAGTATGTGGCAAGTGCCACAAGCAAGACCAAGCAACTGTTCCACCAGCTAGATACTACATTATTGTCATTTAGCAGATGCTGTTGTCCAGAGCAACTTACATGGATTACAATTTTTACTGAGGCAATTGTGGGGTAAGTTACTTGTCCAAGTGTATAGCAATGGGGAATCGAACCAGCAACCTTTCGGTTACAAGCCCTGCTCCTTACCACTATGCCATATTGCTGTCCTGTCATTATTGCTACGAGATACTAGTCTGGACAACTGGCTGAGTGGTCCAGACCACAGAGCACGAAATGTTACACTTCAGTATGTCTGTGGGATGCAAAGGGAACCCTCTTACACTTACTGGAACTGCTCTGTAGGACATGTGATTTTTTTTTCTTTTAGCCTATCATATACAAGGGAACATTATTACAGTCTATTTATATATGTGTTGTAGCACTTGTGACAATAAAGCCTGTGTTATGGGAGCCAGATTCTGTTCTTGGGAGTCCATGGGGTGTGTGTCATTGCATATCATCTGCTGTCTGTGCCCTCGGACCTCAGAAAGAATACAATATCATATTCAAAGAAAGTAAATATCCAAAATACTACTGACAATTGTGTGGGGCTATCAAAAATGATAAAATGCAATATTTATCAAATGGTCATTTTATTTTAACTGCCTAAGGAACCTGTCTAATTACAAGGTTGATATGCCACCATGACACTTTTTGTCCCACTGTTTTGTGCAGGGGTGGGTTTTTGGCAGGAAACTAAGTGTAAGGTCAAAGAGAGAGAGAGAGAGAGAGAGAGAGAGAGATAGATTTACAAGACTTAACGAAATAAAGGTAGATTACCTGGACAGATATTTTCCTGAGGTCAGGGTCCTGTCCTCCATAACCATACAGTTTGTGGTACTTGAAAGCAGTGCAAGTTCTGGAGTTATGTATGCTGCTGTCCCCACTGCCCTGGCCACCAGCTCCAGTGCATCCTGGACATAATGATCCAAGGCTGGTTCTGACATCTTCCCATGTGCCAAAATACCCATAGGCAGGCCATCTATCCTCAGCTCTTCAACGTTCTGTGAATCTCCCAAAATCCAGTGGTATTCCGGCAGCATCAGCCCAAGCTTTGGTAAAGTGCTGAAGATCTTTTTAATGTCCCTTATGTTACATCCAAAAGTTACAACAGTTGATGTGGAATCCTTTAAGGACTCCAGGTAACCTTGCAGAGAAGACTGAAAGTCACTTTTTGAGCTGTTGTTTATCGATATGTTAACAATGGGCCCAAGGTGAAATCTGGAGTTATTGCGCAGCAGAAAGACAAATTCTGAGATATTCTGTTCTGCGCACAACAAAACACTGACATCATACCAGTTATTCATGGACAGAAGAGAGAAAAGTATGTTCACTTGAGGCGTTGGAGGGTTCTGCATGCTCATCTGGAAATGCAGTGGATTCTGTTGGAAAAGAATGACAAGGGGTCATGGAGAAAAATGGCTCTGTAGTAAACAATTAGTGTTGCTTGGAAAACACATTAATATGACATCAATCATTTACTCTCAACTAGACTTGCCTGTGGTCCATATCTAATCAAACTAACTTGTCCTGTGGGATCAGAAATTAAATCAGCAGTTTTTTGCATCCAGAGGGTGCACATTCTATGCAACTGAAAAAATATCTAATTAACCACAATACACAGGCCCAGTCCTAGATATATAGGTGTTAGTATAGCACCTGCATATGAATATTTACAGACACACACAGTGCTGCATAAATAGGATAATTATTTTGATTTATTTTATGCTAGCTAGTAGGTGACCCAGTCCCACAGGCACAAGCGAAAAAGTCTTCCATTAAAAAGGCTTAATGAGTACTTCAGGCTAAACATGTACATGTTAAAGGGTTTACATCAGCACAATACAAAGTAAGAGCCATGAAAGTTAACAAATTATACATTTTCACCAGTAAACTGATTCTTTTGGTAATCAGCTTTGGATGGGTGAGTTTATATTCCATGAAGAAGTAAGTTTAAATGGTGAAAAATAATACCTTCCTTTGATGCTCAAAAATAATACTTTCCTTTGATGCTCAAAAACACTTTCATTTGTATATTTGTACAAATAGTTTTCCTATTGCTACGGACTGCAATGCCACTGTTGACCCCAGGTTGAGAAACTGCTTGCACTAGCCTGAACAATTTCCATTATCACAATGTAAATGTCCAGCACAGTCAAAAGGTGACATAAATAAATCTGCCATTTTTACATTGTCACAGTGCAGATGGATAGTTGCATTGCCACAATGTACAATGTGTGGCATGTCCAAACTGCAATACTCAACATTGTGTAAAATGGTGAAAAACTGAAGGGTTCTGAGCTTGAAATGGTGTAAGATAAAATGCGGTTTTAAAATATGTCCTGTCCTTTAAATAAAGAACACCAATTTTCAATAAATATACATTAGTGAACAATCTCTAACGATCTGTAATTTATCCTGTTGACAAAAAAAGGATATTTTTACACAAATAATATGATAGGCTGCTTATTAACTGTTAGCTGTCTAGGCTAGGTCATTCAAGCCATCCCTCTTCTCCCTCAATTGGCTGTGAATAGATAGATGTGTCCTTCAGTAAATCATGTCTATGAATCATTAGGAAGTTTAATATTTTGAAAATTCAAAAATACCTGTCTGAAGCATCATGATACAAATTACATCAATATTTTGCCATTCCCATTAAATACAAATTACAAAGTACACAAACATAGTTAAAATTCATATTTCAGATACGCATTTCAAATACACATCCCTGCTCAAGCGTACAGTAACAGTGTCCCACTTGGCAATCAAACTGGTAACCTTTAGTTTAAGTGATACTCCTTATCACTATACCTACAAATAGAATTATTAATTCATATGTATGGTAATATTTTTCTCAGTTTAGTCAAATCCCATCAACCCATGAAAATCTGAACTTTATTATGTCATACAATACAATTTATCATCTCTTGAATTCAACACATTTTTTCTTGTGCATTTTCTTACATGCATAATCATGTGTACCTCAATGTTTCTACTGCTCTCACCACCTGAAAACCCCACTACCCTTACCCTGCCTCTGTGCATTTACTGTATATATCCCCTCCTCTTTACCCCCTTACATATTCATTGTATTCAGTTGTGATGTTTCATAATGTCTGATGTATTTGTCTGGTATTTAATTTGATTAATTTATTTATTCATCTTGTGGAAGTGAGCTGTTGTAAGCCAAAGGCAAATTTCCATTTTTAACCAAATCAACAAAGAAGATCAATCTTGAATCTTTAATGTTTGTACAAGTGAGAGTAACAAAAAGGGTGTGTTGTCTAAACTCTGATAATTTCAGTTTTTTTGAAAGTGAGAAAGAAATATCAAATGCAAGTACATTTAATAAAGAAATGAGTGATGTAAGAGACAAACATGGTTTATGAAAACCAATGAAAACATAAGACTACACCATCAGATGGGTTAAATTTACATTTACATTTAAATTTAAATTCACATTTATTAAGGTGCTCTCCAAATGGCAGTCAAAAATGACATTATATCAACATAGAATAAAACCAAAAAAATGAAATGGTTCACTCTTTAAAATACAGGTAAGCCGGTGCTGTTGCAAATACCAACAGAAAGCTCATTGGAAGTGGCTCGTTGGCTTTGTTGGAAGTGAGGTGGCAAAAAAGAGTAAAATCTCATAAAAATCCCAAAATCTCATATCCCGATATAGGTCATTTCATATCCCGATAACGATACATATCACAATATTGCACATTTTCTGTAAATTCAATGAATAAATAGTTTATATAAAATGACCACGTTGGAAAGGCCTATTTCTTATTACATTTTGAATTATATACTTGATAAATAAAAGGTACTTACTCATGTTTGATTATTTTTCTCCTTTTATTTAGAACCTTTGTGCAAATTTTCAGTTAACCCTTTCGTGGTTACGTGATGAAAAATAGTGCTGTAAAGTGTGTGATTTGTGACACAACGAAATAAACGATAGAGCATAATATGAAACGATAGATGTTTTTCTATCGTCACACGATATATATCGTCATATCGCACAGCCCTAGTATGAGGTCATTAAAGTTTCTAAAATAATGTTTGTGAATCTGAGTGACTTAAATGTATCGATTTTACAAACACAAATTCAAAGAAAAAAAGCCTTGTTATGGTTTTGTAAATTTACTGTAAGACATTTACATACAATATTTACCTTGTTGAGCTTGCATATTACAATAAACATTCTGGGCTAGGAAAATTTTGACCAGACTGTAGAAATTCCAGTCTATTAGCTGGCTAGTGCCCAAACTCCTTAAGTTCTATCCCTGCCAACAGACAAAAGTTAACCTAGCTAATAGAATTTACATAAAATCTTCAATCGTGGTTGATATTATTATGCAGTGGAGATGGATGGGCATGGACAAGATCTGTGCAATGTGTTTGCTTTGCTGGCTGAACTAGCCTGCCTGCTTGCCTACCTTCTCACTTTACTGTCTCTCAACTATGTTGCCCATATCTGCTCCTTCGACCACTGCATCATTTCTCTTGGGAAAATTTGGCCATTGCTTCCCTTACACTGTCATTTCTCTCTTTGCATTTTATCCTTTCATTTTTGGGCACCTGACTTTTCACATCTACATTTTGGCATTTTGGCTATCAGCATCATCAAAGGAAATGGGTGTATGTGGGTGCTTTGTCCGTGCCAAAATCTGATTGGCCTTGAATTGATCCAACCATTTTCACAACAAAAATGGGAGAATTGCAGTCAAACAATTCAGTACAATGTGCTTTAATGATTACAAGAAATTGCCATGGACAAAAATGCAGACTCCGTGACTGAATTTGTCAGTATTATAAATCATTAGAAAAACTGTCTTATATTTGAGCCTGTCATACCGCTTCCCCCTGTGCCTTTCACCTTGTCTCAAGGCCTGGGACAACGTTCCTGGTTATCACCACCCCTCCCCTGACAATCAGCCTGGGGGATGTCACGTTCTTTGGTAGATATTCATATGCTTGCTCAAACTACTGAACTCCACAACATAAGCTTCGAGGGTTTTTGAGCCAATTTGGAAACAGTATTTCATTTCATGGGCAGTTGATCCATGTAAGTACAAAAATGAATCCTGCCCAGGCTTCTGCCTCCCTGGCTATGTGCTGAATTAGTCATCTTTCCTACATTATTTCCTAATAA